CCAAAGACTTTGATACCATGTGATGGTGTAATCCATCTCATGTAGGCCATAAAAACCTACATTAAACCAGTATCTACACATGAGAAACCCATTATTCAATGAAATTAGGCAGAAATGACAGACTTCAATGATTAATTTCGTGATCCTTATGACTCTTCACGTATGGCAGTCACCACCACACAATCCTTGTATTTTAGCCACCTGGTTTTAAAGAACACGATTTCGGGCCATGCTCATGACCGAATCAGACGTTTGACCAGACTTCGTTGGGCTGAATGGTTCATCAATGCCACCACTGTTTAAGCGACTGCATATTGCTGCGGTCGTCTCTGCCGCGTGCATTGCTGCGAGACCTGTAACACCTGAGCCACAACGGCTCCTAAGACCAAAAATACTTCTTTCAACCTCATTGACGAGCAGGATCAAAAAGCCATTTATGCAATTTACAGCACTAAGCACACTAAATTCAACAAGTATCAGCTGTGGCTATCATCACTGAATAACAACATCAAACACAAATCAAGATGGTTAAGTGCACTTATGAATGGAATTGCAGAAGCCATTCCACGGCAAAAAGGAAAGCTGTGGCATCAGTAGGTACCCTAATGGAAGAAAGAACTGCAACAACCAAAACCATATTTGTACTATAAATTTTGGGAACAGCCAGGGAGAAAGAGAAAGTGAGCAATCTTTTAAAAGTTAAGAGCATTTGAGGAGAATATTTCAATGCTATTTGAGCCCTCACCCATAAGCAAATTTGTTTTAAACCATGACTCGAAATTGTAATCCTGTATATTCTGCATATTAGGGTTTCATCGTTATTATTATAAACTTAATTAAGGATATTTCAAAGCTTGGGTACAATGAATATACGAGATAATCGTTTCAAAAGCGCACTTAAATTTTTCACGAGACCTTCAGCTACTGAAAAGACCACCACAAAATGGGGTAAATAAAGGCTAGAGAAACGTGTCCCAAAAACTTGAATCAAATGTCAAGCTTACATTATAAAGACCACTTTCCCGGCATTGAGTTCAAGGCTGTACGACCATCTCCCTTCACTGCTACAGATACCGGAACAACAAATCTCGAAATCATCCTCCTTCATCCCTATTTATCAAGTCCGGTTAACATCTCGTCGATTGCCACTGCGCTATCTCAGAGTACCAGCATTCACTTTGTGTAGCTTGTTCAACAAAATTGGAGCAACAAAGAATATTCTACTAAAATTTAGTCAGATTAATTCGACACTACTTTACCAATACTACAACAAATCTCAGTATGTCTTTAGTACTACCTCAGAATGGAAATGCATTCGATAGTTCGTCACTTAAGATTTGGCTACAATCCTATAATAGCACAAAAATCACGCATACATGTTAATTGTTGCAAAGGAGATCAAAAACGTATCCAAACTGTACTTGAGAAGCCGAAAGGGGTGTTTGCCACTAGTAATTAAGAGCACAAGGGTGGCAATAATGTAATGGATCAGCAGACCTATAACCACGGTCATGATGAACAATCCGAGCTGTATGAAGCCGGACTGCATGTTCACCGGTCCAAGAATGGATCCGACCGTCTTGACGTAGACACCAACAATTGTTAGTTTATATCAGGTGGCACTGAAAATCCGATGACTAATCACTAATTCGTATATAAAAAGTCGTATTAGAAATCGTCGACTGATGCATAGCTTGCATTTAATCTATTTGAGGATGGTGATAACACCTGGATGGTTGATCCTTGCCTCTTATATCCACTCAAGCGGTCGTTCAGACGTGGAAGCAGATTACAATTTCAACGAGCGTGATTTTCCTAACAACCTAACACCAATGGCACAAGATTTGTTAGGTATATTTTGAACAAAGATACTCAAAAACAAACGGATTGACAAGTCGTTTTAATCATATGCTATTTGCGGGATTTGAAAAGTCGGTTCTGGTAAATCATTAAAAGTCAAACCTTGATAGTACCTTCCCAATTATCAGGTTCCTAGATTAGATATTTCCCACATTTCAATCATTTCCTTAAACTGGAACAATAAACCACTTCGTTTTCCCATTACCGATGCAATGTAATTAGTTCAAACCTGTTTGGTGCATTTAAATTTAAAACTCAAGATCGTAACTAGTTGACTTGCGAGTCAAGTGGGGACTTCTATCAAGAAAACGATGGCGCTTAAAACGCTCATAAGCTAGCAGCATTTCCAACGTATAAATAATATGAATTAGCCATGGGAGAGGGTTAGGCAAAGCTCTGACAGCAAAGTGTGCTAGCATAGAATTGGCTTGCCAGACTAGAGGTCAACCTTAGACATTGTCAGCCTTGCTATGGTGACAGAGAGGGCCTCGAAGAACTTTACTAGGAACTTTGCAACCTCACCCACCGTGCTTGCTGCCGCATCGAAAATAGGCGTTTAAGAGAGATCATGATGGAGCCTCCACCATTCGATCAAACTTAATAGGGGGATGCCAGTGACAATCATGTTTGTTCCACGCCTTGTCGGGTTCCCTATCTTCCCATTTGCGGTATAATTAACAATTTCATTGCGGTACCAAAAGTAAGACGCAATTAGATTCGACTAAAAAATGCAATTTTACTCTAGGGTGTAAGAATGTAAATTACCTGAAAAACGGCAACACCCACGATATTACCCCTGAAGGGGCTATTAGATATAGTCATCATGGGTGTAATTAACATGAAATGGTCTAATTCTTAAAGAAAAATGATCATTTTGTGGGACTGAATGCATGTCTAATCATTTGCTCCTTTAATGTAATTCAACGGACAAATTCCCTGGGCATCGAACTGACTGCTCCTGATTCTTAGTTGCTTCGAACAAATAAGGAATCAAAGAAATGCATAAACCTGTTCTCACATGTTTAACGTGCATTTTAGGGCAGCAAACGTACTAGAAACTCAAATTAAATTTAAAAATGGAGTTTGGTTCTGACGCCTTACAAACCTGGATCTACACAATTCCATATGCTACCGATGGCGTGAGATGGCAAAGTTCTTTACGCCTCTTGACACTCAATGGAACCTATTTGAAGTCGTGATTGGAGTTTCTTTCCTCAAAATGATTAGATTTAGTGAAAGCTTAGTAGTCTCGTACACGTCAAGGGCACTGCAGACTGAGTGAAACAAAGTGGAATGAAAGTGCTGTAGGACCATAAAATAATTAGGTTATCCAGGAGGTGGATGTTACTTTACAAGGCAACCTAACAAAATCGAAAGTGGCAAAGTAGGTGTAAGGGTAACAATAAGAATATGAATTTCGAAGGGCACCTGGTTAAATGATGGTCACACAGGCAGTTCCAATGAGACTTTCTCCTAGGTCAATGCATACAATACAGGAACAGCCGATGAGACTTACCTTTCCGTTCTCCTTTGGTTCCAAGGGAGACGTGGTTATGAAAAATAAAGATTATATTGTAATCGCACTCACTTTTTCATAAGATCGACTGATGTAGGCACTGCAAAATTGGTATTTACAACTTATTGACTAGGATAATAGGAGTAATTAGTAGCAATATCTTTAAATGAAGTATTCGAGTGTATGTCACCAGTCACAGAGAAAGACATTAAAAATATTTAAATTTAGGTTTTTTTTAATGTTACCGCACCTTAAGTGTGTTTGTTTGAGTCACATGTTTCCAGGGGATAGTAGGTTAAATGATGTTTCCATATAAATACTACTCTGGAACTACGGATACAGAGATAGGCTCCAGGTGCATGAATTGTTTAGCTAAATAAGTTTATAATCAGTCGTTTACGCTATTTTATTCGTGACAAAGGTCACGACGTTGAACTTATCTGCTCAAAAGTGTAAGCGGTCAATTGAGAAGGATTTAGATTTTGATACAAAGATACCAAGCATAACAAAAGTGTACAGCTTACTAATCTACGTGATGGTAACTTCAGCAGGCTTAAAAGCTCTTACACAGAGGGCAATCTCGAATCTCGCAGCAATACCAACGGTAGTGGCGAGCATAAACCAGTCGTTAATGAGGAACACCACACACTTATGTCTTGTTTCTTCCATTTCCTTGCCATCAAGATCTCGAACTTCTGTAACAGTCATGAATGGATCACTACCGCGACATGAAGGGTGAAGTAGAGAGCCAGTTCGTCGACAAAAAAGGGTTTAAATAATCTCAGTCCGGTTTGATAAACAAGTCAACCGTCACCAACTGACCGCAGGTTGTGATTGGTCTATCTTGCATAATGCATGGTGTTTATGGAAGGCATACATTATATTTTTCGAAAAATATACAAGTCTGCAAAGTTTTTTTTTTCACGATGAAAAAACAGCTGTTACTTTATTATTTTTCTGACATTCAATGAACAATTTAGTATACTAGCAAAAACAAATTATTTTGCATCAATCAAAGTATTGCTAGAAGGGTAAGGGTTTCGAAATAATGTCATTGGTTTCACTAAAGACTAGGCTTGTATGGGTAGGGGCAGAACACTAGGACTTATAAAATTCAGCAAATGCTTTTTTTTTACTTTGTTCAGACATTGCGTTATTCATATGATAAACTAAAGAAGCTTTTAACTTATGGTTTGTTAAGTGTCCAAATAAGGGCAGGAAACATTGGCATGAGTCTCATAATGCTTTGCTTTGAATATTGATATTACTAAAAATTCAGCGTACTAATAAAGTTGGATTGTAGTGCCCTCAGTATTCCCTAAAGTCGAAGGAATTCATGCCACTAGGGCAAAAATGTATTGTCAACGTACAGAAGGCTGGGCAGCCACTAGCATGCCACTGAGGCCATGACGCCCAGCAGAAGTGCAATCGCAGAGCCTTAAGTGCCCACGTAACCAAAACAGCGAGTTAAATAAACACTTAAAGTATCGACATTAACCAAA